TAGCTACAACTTTTACCCGTTGTTCTAACCACGCTAAGACCCCTTATCCACTTCTTGAGCACAAATCTAAGAAGAAAGTAAACCTACAGACATCGGTCTTGTTTAACAAAATCTGCCTACAAGAAAATCTGTCACCAAAGTACACGAATATTTAAGTATATATATATATATACACACACATACATATTTGAAACATGAAATAATGATCGCATTTATCCTTCCGAATATAATGTTAACCGTAAACAGCTACAATGCATTGACCAGATCAGGTCGACTAAGATAACGGCTCTCCAGTTTAACCCGACAGACATTTTAAACTCTAATATTTGTAGCAGCAGCCCTTATAAAAACTGCTTTTTGTTATGTTTGAAATACATGAGGAAAGTACGCGTTTCGTAACTATGTTGTAGAATATCTAATTTTGGTCACACTTTTTTCGTGTAATGGCATTACTTGTTCATGTTACATTAAACCAGTCATTGATAAACATACACTTAATTATATATCATATCAAACAGTGTTCGTAAAGGTTAATACTGGGTAAGTTTTACAATACGATTTCAGTGATAAAATTATTTACATTAGTTTTATCGTGGCATATAATGCATAGGCCACCTAAAGCCCCGACCATACAGGGGCCCCGCCAGCCGTTCAAGTAAAACAATTATGGTTCGTAAAACTAGCAGGATAGAAACAAGTGTGAGTTATTATTATTACCAAATATTACTTGGGCCCAACTAAACCTTAATCCGGCCCTGGTCTAAACTAGCGAAAGGTAATATGTGTGTGAGTGTGATAATAAACCTAAATAAAACATGTTTAATAACATCATATTTTGCTAATTTAATATGGGTTACCATTATGATCGGAAATTTTAAGCATAGTTATTTGAGCGAATACAGTCATATAATAACATTTCATTCCATTAATCAAGATTTAGGTGAATGAAACTTTAAAAGAAACACCTGTGAACTAAAGAATACTTCAATGTCACCACAAATTTATTGATTCCATAAATTGATATTTTGCTAAATTCAATACAAAAACTTGGGAAAAATAAAATTATCGATACGGTCGTACACAAAAACAAATATTTTCAGTCTAATGTAACCTGCCAGCTCTTATCATAGCTATCTTTACAATCCGTACCAAAAAGTCCACAGGCTGTTATAGTCCATCAAATGGTTTACAGTCATTTATTTAAGCACAACTGTCGAGATTTGTTCCTTGCCCAACAGAACAAATAAAAGTAATTTAGTAATAAGGTAGAATAAGCAGATTAAATTTACTACAAATGATCAGATACAAAAGATTTGATGCATTTTATACATATATTTTTAAGATTTTCTTACATATCTGTTTCCAAATATACAGACAAATTATGATCACAAAATGATCAAAATTACACCAAAATAAAGTGGTCTGGTAACAGATGGATACTTGTGACGTCATGTCAACTATTTCATATCTCACACTTGCACCAATCTCTTACTTACTTACTTCTATAATGACTAGACAATGACAACCTCCACCTGACAAAAGAAAGCCTGTCGCCCTAACCTTAGAAACAAGAAAAGCTTACACAATTATATAGGAATATAAACCGTATAGGAGATGCTTATTTCGCAACAAAAAGTATTTCTGTTCTGTCGCAGCGAATACTCAGTGCTATAACGACGATTCAGATTTGTTCACGCTGAGTTTAACATTTCCTTGTAAACATTTTTGTCTTTCTTGAAGCAGAAAAATAAACCATTTTCAAGGAAAGACAAGAGGAAACTCAGTTGAAAATAGTTTATAGCTCACACGTTTAACAAACTAAAAACGTTTAGTATACAATTTTTATTTTCTGTCCTAACGTTTGCCTTTTCCCCATATAGAAAACATTTTCCAGAAAGAAAATCTGTCTCCTGTAACCACGTTATCCTTGGATTCTGATATGTTTTCTTTTACAGATGGCACTACGTCATGTCGCTGGAACCTTTGTTGTTCTTCACCAGGTGAAGGGTTACAAGGACTTGCGAAATCCGACTGTGGATCATCTCTGGTGTCTCTAAGCATGTCTAGTACATTCTGTTCAGATTTTGTGACCTTTGCTCGGGTTAAGGTGAAACTGCGATTAGAAGATTTCTCGGGTTGTTGGCTGGTAGCAGCTGATTCGTTAGACAGAATCTCGGACTGAACGGCATTGGGATCTTCCACAAAAGCTTGTGCAAGATTCCTACTAATTTGTTTCCTGATAGTCTTTTTCATGGACAAGTGACGTTCAAGATGACGTATGTCTTTATCGGTCAATGTTTTCATGCCATAATTACCACAGTTACTATTTTTATTGGCGTTGTTTTTCTTACATTCAGAGGGAATACGATTTTCATCCATGGATGATTTGTTTTTCTTCTTATTTTTATTTTTGTTGTTTCCAAGGTTACAGTCTTCTAACTTGCTATTTCCGTTTCCATCCTCAATCAACTTTTTAGGGTCCTCCCCTAGAAATTCATTGGGAAGCACATCAAAGTCCCTTTTTTTCTTTCTGCTGCCTGGAGAATAGTCATAGACGCAAACCTCTTGCAAATTGTTGGGTACTAAGTCTTTACGGGGATCGTGGAAGATGTCTCGGACATGAGGATTGTTACGGTTCATGATGTTCACCACGACTTGTCGGATCGACGCTAAAAGAAGAGACACAGATAAAGTTTAGTAGATATTAAATCTTCAAAAAGCAGAAGCAGTAGAAAAGTAAAAGCATATATCCGTGACAATAAATATAACGTTTAGGTTTTAAGTTACCAAAAACAGTTATTCTTTCAAATTGTACAGGCGCATATTTTAAAATAATGATCAGAGTTTGCCTGCACATGCTGAGTAAAGTAACAAGTCTTTATAGTAGAACAAAAACACATTAGCTTAAAATAGACCAAACACAAACATTATACCGTGTGTGTGATACATACTGGTCATGTAACAAAATATGATTTTGCCTGTTTTTAAACCTTTAAAATCGTAAAAGCTATATAAAAGATGTAGTCTTATACAATTACATTCTGAGAGATTAACTGTTTCAGATATTCACGCAAAGCTACACAAGAGCTCTCTGCAATAGCCTTCCCTAATTTTGAACTGATCAACTAGAGGGAAGAGAGATAATCAACTGCACCCATCGCCAATTCCTGGACTACCCCCCAGTAGCACAGCGGTATGTCTGCGGACTTACAACGCTAGAATCTGGGTTTCGATACCCGTGGTCGGCAGAGCACAGATAGCCTATTGTGTATATTTGTGCTTATTTACAAACAAATAAAACGAATAGAATAGTGTAATTTGATCGTCACTTTTATAACACACCCATGGCCCTAAAACGGGAGGTGGGGGATAACCGGACACAAACCATGGACCCTCAGGTCCTCAACTCGAAATTCACCCTCACTATGATAATACATTCATGGCGCAATTATTATTATTCTTTTGCGGTAATGGAACTCGAACCATGAACCTCGTATCCTAAGCTCGGTATGCTAAACACTAGGCCACGACAGGCCCTATTCGAAAAGAAGAAAATATCGTTACAGCTATAACGATTGATTTAAAAATTATGTAAAACAAAAAATAAAAGCTCGTTCCTTCAACTGTTGGAAAATTTCTTATCCATTAAGTATCATCTTTTTTTAAATATTTAACTCATAAAGCATATAATGAATTCTTTAAATATTTCAATACAGAGGTAAATAGTTTCAGAAACATTTATTCTTACTATTAATGAATTGCTTGTTAAAACAGTGGAGATAATCGTGGTCCAGCACGAGTAAGGTACTTGCTACAATTTACATTGAAATATATATTAAAGATGTGAAAGTGTTATTATATAAAAGTATATAGTAATATTCAGCATCATATGTCTGATTATTTTTCTATACAACAAATCTCTAATATGCGTGAACCTCCTTGCAAAACACACATTTTGAAAACACCCATACGTTTGCTTTCTATTCATTACGTGTAGGCGTTTTTGTAAAGTTTAGCTTGCTGGTTTGACAAGATTTCCCTTCTAGAACCTGTTCTTTATTTCTAAACTCTCTAAAGCTCTTGATTCAAGTGCGTCAACGCGCCTTCCATAGTGGGCGATGTTGAAGGCGACGCCCTACGTTGACATCAAGGAAAAGGAGTTAAAAAAAACAGTCGTTAGTACTGAAAAACCGGTTTTGTATGGAAGGTGTATGTTTATCCACAATGGTTTCTCTATTTTCTGTATGAAAAAACAAACACCGATATGCTAAGGTCAGTTTTTATCATGTTATAATTTGCAAAATTAATATAAAAATTTCGATCTTGTCTCCAAAAGCAAGTTTACGATAAACTTCAAAATATATTTGGGGTTTTAAGCTATAGCATTCTGATTGTGGTTTATACGTATTTAATGTGAATCTACTATATACTACTGAACGAAAATGTCATGTTTCTTCAGTAAGTTACTCACAGACGTTTTGTATAATAATATATTGAATTAAAGGTCCAGAGAAGAAGGTTGAACAGTAATTAATTCAACTGTTATACAATTAACTATATGATTTATTTAACAGGGCTGTTGTCCTATAACCATTGTTTGTTTTAAACCTAAATCACATATATGAGCACCGTGACAAGAAAATAGAAGTCGGATAAATTTGATCCACATAAAACATGCATGAAAGATTCACACAGTATTTTTGAACCTTGTTAAATATAAAAGTATAATAATAAAAAACAAATTATAAAGACAAGTAGGGGTCGATATATACGTAACATACCAAGCTATAGTAATGTAGAAAGCTTTAATGCTACAAAAGTATTCAAACAAGAAAGTCAAAACTACAAAAACTGACTTACTTAAGATTTAACATTTATCTATCCCTTCTTTGGCAAACCACTTTAATTATGCCAGTCAGAGCCAAAGTAGGGATAACACGTTTTATATTTTAAATAACTCAGTTTTTGTACTTTTGACTTTCTTGTTTCAAAACTTTTGTAGCATAAAAAGTTTCTGTTATTTCTATAGCTAGCTAGGTTACGTATATATCAATCCCTACTTGTGTTTATAAAATTATATTATATCTGATATATATAAATTATATCTCGCGTATATCTGATTCGATTTTATTACTCAATAGGAACTCTACCAACCTACCCTCAAATCTAATTACACGCCCAAAGTAGCACATCGTCCGTTTTATGTATATATTTATATATATATATATTAGTATCCTTTTCAAAAAGGAATCACTGGGACCCCAGACGGAAGAGTTCTCTGAAAGAATTAGGGCGAATAGGTTCATCACTTTTTTCTGTAAAAAGACACTTATTTATTTAGATAAAAATTCGTTGAAATAGTGAAATTATGATTCACTCCATAAACACGTATATAGCGATTTAGGCGACTTTATAAATACAGTAAGCTTGAGTTTTGTTAATATACAGACATTTTAAAAGTGGTTTAAAACTAGCGATTTTTACGGCCGTCATTTTGTTTCATCACGACCCTTACTATTAAGTACTACCGTACTTAATGATAATGCAGACAATGATAGAGGTTTACTTAATTAAATACTTCAGCTATTCCCTTTAAGCAATTTTCAATACAGGACTGTGTTTTTTAAATCCAACAATACATAATATCCTTCATTAAAAGTATCAGCTCCCAGAATCAACGGTAAGTTTACGGACTTACAACGCTAAAATCCGAGGTTCGATTCACCGCGATGGAAAAAGCGCAGATAGCCCATTGTGTAAGTTTGCGCTAAAGCAACAACAACGAAAAGTTTTGGTGATATGAAATGTTAACATGGTCAAGACGGTTCAACCAACATTGTTAATTCAGCGCTTCACAAGGTAGGAGGAAAATAAAAATTAATGTTTTGTACCGACGTTTATTTTAATCCCTACCAATTAAAACAGTTATACAGTTACCTAAGCTGAAGAATCAAGAAATGCAGATTAATTAATTAGTGGTACTAATAACAAAGACCGCGCGTAAGAGTCTGAAAGTTGATGTTTATTTCATTTTCACTGAAATTTTGTGAGAGACAAAAATCAGTGCTCAGTTTAAGTATATCTGTTGAGTGATATTAAGAACTGGCAGCTTTGAAATATACTTTTCGACTTCACATATTTTATATTTCACACTTTCATATTTGAAAGATAAAAGAAGTTGATCAAAGCTTAGGGTAACACAACATCATACATTTATGAGCAGTGTGAAACTATGATAATACAACGCAAACTCGTACTCATTTCTTTGAAGTCGAATTCTTTTATATATCATTGTCAGCTCTACTACATTTTAAACACCACTGAATGTACACAAATGATAGAATTTGTTTTTGGAACTTCAGAACGACAGTAACACAAATATAAAACACAGTAATCTTATAAGCATGGAATATGTATGCTTCAAATACATCTGTAGTTGAAATAGTTTGTTTTTTAGCGCAAAATCACATCTACTGTGTCTACCGGGTAACAGTCGAAAGAGAGTACCAATAAGCTTATGGTCTTTCAGTTGAGTTAATGTCGATTTTAACACAATAAAACTTTCACCCCTCCCCCATCACAAATTGCTAACTACGATATCTTTAAATCTCAATATCATTTTTTATATTCAAAATACGTAGTCCACCTTTGCTATTAAATGACCTATACAGACACCAAACGGGCCGTCACACCAAACATGCTCGCCTTTTCAGCCGTGGGGGCGCTATAATGTGACGGTCAATCCCAGTATTCATTGGTAAAAGAGTAGCCCAAGAGTTGGCGGTGGGTGGTGATGACTAGCTGCCTTCCCTCTAGTCTTACACTACTAACATAGACGGCTAGCGCAGATAGCCCTTGTGTAGCTTTGCGCGAAATTCAAAACAAACAAACAAACAGACACCAAACCCTAAACGACTGGTCTCCGGGTGACACAAAATATTTCCACAAAAATGTTTCCAGCTTCATAATCTTCTAGTTTCATTCGGATGGGAGGAACAATATAAATTTACAAGGAAGTATTTTAGCATTTTTGTTACTAGTTTTTGAATGAAAAAAAAAAGTTCAGCTGAAAAAGAGAAAAACTCGTGGTTTATTGTATAAAGAAAAACAATGCATCTCTTGTCACACTTCGTGCATCCTGGTATGAAAATAATTTTAATTATCTATTTTTCTCACTAAAACCTCAAACACTTCCAAAACGTAGTTTCTGCTGTAACACTGACATTACCTTGAAGCTTCCTGATTGTGTTACACACAGTATAATAACTATTATTCATGGTTTTCAGTCTTTCACAGTTCACCTAACGTAACCACGTAGAACCGAAACAAGTCCTCGTAAAATGCAGATCATTCAACCATAGATTTTACATCACTATTCCTTAAAATTGTAGTGTAATATGTTTACTTAGTAAATTCCTTTCTTCCTATACATTACTGTAGTACATGTAATGTATCTAGTAATATAAGTTGTTTTAACTTACATAGTGTATAAGCCTGCCTCATACTTCTTAATGCAATGTCACATGCTTTTAGCGCATTCAAATGGAAATTGTTTTGTACACACACACACAATGTTGGAAAACAAAAACATTTTAACATTATTATTATTTGATGCATACTGGCAATTAAATTCAATATCCGAGGGAATTTAAAAGCATAAAAATACATA